TGTATTCCCATGATTATGCGATATTAATGGTCATTTGTTTGACTGCAGAACTTAATGTATATCACTAGTGTTATGGTTTAAGTAAAAATGCTGCGGATCCCCAAGTGGTTACAGCAGGCAGCAGGCCATGAGATGACACTGCAGGTCCCCAAAGTGGCAGCAGGCAGCAGGCCGAGAGCCACCAGTCTCAGGCAGGGACCGTGCAGTTCCCCAAGTGGCTGCAGTGGGCCATGAGGGGCAGCAAGTCGCAGGCAGGGAGCCTTGTGGTGGGAGAGAGACCTTAAGGGGACAACCAGTCTCATGAGGAGAGACGGATGGGCACACCGCGAGACCACGCCGCAGGTCTCCGAAGGTGGCTGCTTCTGGGCAGGGAGCTATGTGGCTGGCAAGAGACAGAGATATGGATAAGCACACCATGCCGAGTGAGGTTGGATATTTATTTATTTAGGGAAAAGGGAGAAGAGCAGAGAGAGACACAGAGACAGAGAGAGATGGGGAAGGGGAGAGGTGGGAAGAAGGGAGAGACAGAAGCTGACAGAGAGAGATGGAAAGGAAGGGATTCAGGCTGGAAGCTTAAGATCAGCTTACCTTGGCAGGGAGGGAGTGGGCGTGGCTTGTCTCTTAAAGGGACAGAGCAGACCATTACAACTAGACTCCTGAATTACTGAAGCCAGTGCCACACCCTGAAAGTTTTTTTTTGAGAAACAAACCTCCCTTCCAGCTTGCAGACTGAAGATTCTCTGTTGGGTTGAGTGCCTGTTACTGTTTGGACTCCAAAGTTGGTAGGGCTTGGCTGATCACATGACCTGTGAGTGGGAGACTGAGCATGTCCTTTATCCACTGCTTTCTGATTCAACAGAAACAACCTTTCCTTGTTGATAAGGCTTAGGAGGACAGGAGGTATTCTTCCAGTATGGAAGAGATGAGGGTTGAGAGTCTCTGAGTTTTTTTTTTTGCTCCTTTTTCACCTGCTCTTGATTTTTTTTTTTTTGTTTTTGTTTTTTAAAGAGATGTACCTGATCATTGTGGAGAAAGAAGCCAAGGTGGTAGGAGAAGCCCAGCATGGTCTCTCGGTGCATGCCGTTGTGCAAATCATTCTTCAGGAGCTTCTCCTCCAGGACCACGTGGTACCGAAGAACGTCTTCCTCCTGTGACACACACATAAGAAGAAGTCAGCCAGTGGACTAGATTCGGCTCCACTGTGCCGGAGCCATGGGGCCGCAAAGAGAAGTAGTGCCTTGTCCGTGTGCAAGACACCAGAGCACAGAGGTATCAGGCAATAAGGTGAGCTGTGAATTTCCAGGTAGGACCGCCAAGAGCACCTAGATGGGCATGATCCAAGCAGTGAGTAGATTTTGAAAATGATTTCTTTGATATTACAAAGATTTACGCTTCAAAAATTGAACATAAAAAGAGCTTTAGCAATTAATATCATAAAAATTATATATACTTCTAAATAAAATAGAAAATATCACTGACAAGAACATGAAAATTATTCCAAATATTTTAGTACCATTAAAATAAAATATTCCCAAGTAGAAACATGCTTTCAAAAACACTATCCAAAATAACTGCAATCAATTATATCAATGCAAAGAGTTTTGAAATAAAAAAAAAAAAGCGCTGTTGGGAGGTAGTGGAGCAGACCTTTAGTCCTAGCACTTGGGATACTCTCTGCAATTTTGAGGCCAGTTTGTTCTACAGAGTGAGTTCCAGGACAGCCAGCGCTGTCACTCAGATAGAAACTGTCTCAAAAGACTAAAAATACCAAAAAAAAAAAAAAAAAACCAACCCAGAATTGCAGTGGCAAAGGGGTAATTTTTCTGACATTAAAAGATGACAGTGTGGAAAAAAATCTATCTGCAAATGCTCAAGTGGTTTCCACTTACATAATTAGTTTGGACTGTAATTATAGATAATTATAATTCTTTGATATGCAAATTAATATTTTCATATCCCTAATGAGATGTTAAGGACATTTTTTTTCACATAAAAAGGGAATACATACTTTCATGGACACCAGGTAAATTATATTTTAGTTTCTTTCTTTCTCTGTTGTGGGACAATCCTTCTGTATACTTTGAATATGCATTACTCTCATTGGTTAGTAATAAAGCTGATTGACCTATAGCAAGGCAGGATAAAGTTAGGCAGGGCAATCAAACTGAGGACTCACAGATGCAGAGTGGTGGAGTGGGGAGAGATGCTAGCGAGCTGCCCAAGAAGCAAGATGCCAGAGGACTGGTATGGCTACAAGACACATGACAATACACAGAGTAACAGAAATGGGTTAATTTAAGATATAAGAGCTAGCTAGAAATATGCTTGAGCCATTGGCCAAGCAGTGTTATAAATTAATATAGTTTCTGTGTGAATATTCAGGTCAGGGCAGCCAGGAAACCAATGTGCAGTTTCTATCTACACTCTACATGTACACACATATACCCACACGTATACACACACATGCACACACCCACGCTCACAATCTTAAAGAGAAAAATGTTGATGATGGCGGGTGATACCTACCAGAGTTGTGGCTTTCTTTTCCCTGATATAACTCTCGATGGCTTCATTGTTTGGAGCAAACACAGTGTAAGCGTCTGCAGCCTCGATCGCGCTTGCCAGATTGTATTGCTGCAAAGCAAAGACAGGGCAGCCAGTGAGGGCCCTGCCCAGGGCCCTGGCCGCTTCACAAGATGGTTATGCAGAGAAGATGGTACTTGCAATGATATAGCCTCGGAAGATGGAATAGTCGGGCATCTGGTCCAGACGGGTGAGGAGGTTTGGTAGGGAGCCAGTCAGACTTCTTTGGGGCACCAGCACCTGGGAACAGAAAGCCCCGAAATTCTATTTAGCAAATTTTGTTACCATTTGCTGTCCACACGGAAGCCCTGTTGGGTTCTTTGGGCAGAAGTGACTAACAACTTTTTGGTAATTTTCAGAACAAGTTATTCCAGGATGGAAAGTGACCACACTAGAAGAACTGAAAATATTCGTTCACTTTTAAGTTCTCCTTAAATTTACTCTCCATTTGGGGAAAACGTCCTCTCATGCAAAAGACCTTTTAGCTCTCCTTAGGAATCCCCTCTAACTTTCATGAACTTAGCCTTTGAATTCTTTGCTTCTTATCCTGGGACCCTTAAGTCTACTATAAACCTGAATTTGCCTTATAAGAAAACATGTTGCTTGGTAAAAAGCAGAAGAGATAGGACCATTTTCCATACATAGTTAGATTTCTGGCTATGTGTGCATGCGATCCAGGTCTGGAGCCCAGGGCCTCGTGCAAATGTGCAAATGAGCTGTTGCTGAGACCTTCCCCCAGACACGCGACCCCTCCCTTTTCCTCCCAATCTTCTTCTTCTAGAACCTGAATGCGGTAACATTTCTTTTCCTCCTCTCTGCAGTCTCGGCCGACATTGATGGGGCCCCGGTAGCCCTGGAAGAGCTCAGCAAAGGACAGGGGGCGCCCGACAGAGGCACTGAGCCTTGAGACCCCAGAACGCCAACTGCCGGAGGAAGACTGAGACCCTGAGACCGGAAGGGGAGGAGTCGAGGCCCTGAGGCACTCGCCATGCTATTGGCTGCCGGGTGTGAGTATGCAAATGAAGGAACGTCACTTCCGGAGCTCTCGGGATGCCATCTTCACCATCTTCTCGCTCGCGTGCTGGTGCTGGAAGACTGGCTGGTGGTGAGCAGCGCTGACAGCCTGACAGCCGACAGCTGAGGAGCCCGCGTCGGTTCCCGAGCCAGGCGGTGACCCGAGGTGAGTGTGTGGCTGGAGGCTGTCGTGTGACTGGAGGGTGGGCGCGAGGCCATTGAGTGGCTGGAGGCCATTGAGTGGCTGGAGGGCGGGCGCGAGGCCATCATGTGACTGGAGAGCAGGCGCGAAGCCATTGTGTGACTGGAGGGCAGGCGTGACTGGAGGGGGGGTATAGGCTCGAGGCCATTGAATGGTTGGAGGCCATTGCGTGACTGGAGGGCGGGCGCGAGGCCATTGTGTGACTGGGGGGGGGGCGG